AGGAGGAAACAGAGGCAACTACAATAAAGGAAAGGGTTAGACATGTCCTGCTGGTGAGGAAAAAACTAAGCAGAGACCCAAAGGCAAAAACAGAGCATACTTTGGAGAAGGGAGAAGAAATCTGAGTAATTCTCCCATAATTTTAATTTAAAAAAAAGGGGAAGAGGGAATAGAGGGCCCTCTCCTCTTTGATTTAGTTCCTCCGGAATGGAGAAAGATAGGGAAAAAGTCTTCCCCCCCAAAGATTTAGAGTTAAGAGGGAAGCTATACTTAGTTCCCAGAAAAGGGCACTTAAAAGAAGCCTAAGTCAGGAGACCTGGGACTTGTGGGAAGAAGTGCAAAGGAGTTCCTGGAGGTGATCCTGACTTAAATGAGACTAGTCCTATAGCAGCCAGGTCAGCACAGGAAGAGATTAAGACCAAGAGATTAAGACCAGAGACAACGAGAGAGCAGCAGTAACTACTTACATTGATCTGTGTTCTGTATTGGACTAGACAATTTGGTCCTGCCTCAGGGTTAAACTTAATCTCAAAGTCAAGGCCTTTGGAATTCTCTGCGCTTACAGGGATGAGTTTCAGCTTTCGAGCCAGCTTATGATACTCTGCAAGTTGCGTTTCAATCTGTTTGGGAGAGAAAAAAGCCCCAAATGAATAAATTTAAAGCATATACCATTTTGACAAGCCTTCATTGCTCTGGCTACAACTTCTCCATAGCTATTGTTAGCGTATCATTTGGTTTAACTACTTTTCTAAGATTCGGACAGAAAATCTACAAAACTTCTCATAACTTATAAAAGGCAAGAGTGCTCTCACATACAATGTGCCCTAAAATGAGATAAACACCTTATTTTTGAAAAGCAAAAATGATGCAAAAGATCTTTCTTTAAGTACCTGCTATAAGTAGCAGCGTGCTTGGCTCCCTACCTGCTCATTGTTCTGCTCCCTGTGAATTGTGTGCAAGCTTTACTTTTGCCCAGTAAGTGGCAGGTATTGATTGCTCTCACCATATTACTTTTTCTATAATACTTGCTCCAATATCTAGCAGCTAGTTTTGGGGGAAAAAAAAGTTACACATGGTATACAACAAAATACAGCAGTTTAACCTGCTTCCTTTCTACTGGCCTCTTTTACTCATGAAGTGTGAATATTCAATAAAATGTACCTAGTCACTTAATGCAATTCATAGATTGTAAGGCCAGAAGGGACCTCGGAAGATCATCAGGTCTAGCCCCCTGCACCAAACAGGAAAGATAACTGGGGGTCAGGGGACACCAGCGAGGTGACTGTCTAGTCTCCTCTTGAAGATTTCCAGGGTAGGTGATTGCACCACCTCTGGAGGGAGCTTTTCCTAGTCTGGATACCTTGACTGTGAAGTTTTTCCTAATGTTGAGCCTGAAATTGGTCTTCCAGGAGTTTGTGGCCATTACTCCTGGTTTTCCCCTCAGGTGCCCTGGTGATCAGTTGCTCATCGAGCCCTTGATGTACTCCCCTAGTGTAGTGGTAAGCTGCTACTAGGTCCCCTCTCAGCCTTCTTTTCCTTATGCTGAAGAGTCCCAGATCCCTCAGCCTTTCCTCGTATGGCTTGCCTTTTGAGACTCTGATATATGGGTGGCTCTTCTTTGGATTCTCTCAAGCTTGTTCGTGTCCTTGTTAAAGTGTGGTGCCCAGAACTCACTCACACTTTTTTTTTTTTTTCTTTTACTTTTCTTTTCTCTAAGTTTTAGAGTTAGAAGGCAAGTGACACTTAATATATAGGAATCAGACGGGATCTTTTGATCTTTCCATTTTAAAATGGAACGTCAAGAGCCACAACTGAATTTTCAGCTGAAGCAAGAAATGAATCTAACCCTAAAAATTAGTGAAGATGATAAAATGACATAATTTATATTGCAACAGCAGTATTTAGCTAAATGAATGTGCTGCTAACCTTATGATAGTACAAGTTGTAGCCATGATACTCCAGAAATTATGCGTGGGGAAGATTTCTTAGGGTGGTATCTTTTACTGGCCCAACCGTATAGTTAGGATAGAGTTAGAGTTAAGCAAGGTTTCAAATGCAAGGCATTGACCCGAGAAAGAATGTCTTACATTCAAAAGCTTGTCTAATGCTATTGTCCCAATAACCGGATTAACCCGAAAACAAGGAGGTTCCTCCCCAAAAATCAGCAAGGGGGGGGGGAAAAAAAAAGCCCCTCAGCTAAATTCACATACAAGGAAACCTCATTAAACTGCTGCCAAAAGCAGCATGTGCTCAGTAATGGAAACCAACTATACACCCAACACTGAGCATGTTTATAAAACACTTGGCCCACATTGAGCAAACACACTGATGACAAAATTTAAAAAAAAAATTATTATTATTATTTATTTATTTATTTTTTAATAGAAATTGTGTGTGTTCCAAGCCAAAACCAGCCAAATCAAATCCAAATCCATGAGTCAGTCCAGAACCATAAGTGGCCCTACAACCAGCAAACATCCTCCCCGCCCACCAGGGGCTTCAGATATTTTCAATGTCTTTGGCAGGCATCCTATGTGTAGGCCCTAAGCCTGGAGGCTTGGGGTTCAGATGCCCCCAAGTTTCGTTTGCCCTCAGCCACACAGCCAAGAACAGTTATCCCCCAGGGGCTTAAGGAAAACTAACTTCTTGGACCCAGATACATGGTGTTTCCCCTGCCAGGTAAGTGATGGGAAGTTCTACAGGGATGTGTTTATGTAGCCCATCTGAATAAGATACATTAGTGCCTGCTGTACGCAGCCCCCCTCAGGGCCGACTCTTTTTCTAAGTTATGGTGAGCCACAACATTGAATAAATTTCAACTTCTTCACTACCATAGCTGAGGTGTGCCTCTCTCATTTCCAATGATTCCCGTTTCTTCACCAGCTTTAAATGTCTGGCAAACATCACTAATAAAATCATGGGGCCTAAAACAGTTCACCCAGAACCCCTGTCAGCCCCTCTCTCAACCTATGATTAGTGTGGCTCCACCTTCCATGAGATTGAGCCAGACCAGGTTGCCCTGTGCCTCATCTGCATATACATTTTTGGAGGATCCCAGGACTCATGACAAGAACACACGCTAACAGTCATGAGTGGGGGCCACACACACACTGATCAGTAGTGAGCTGTGGGGTCACCATGGCTCGAAGTGCTGTGGACTCTGCTGGAGCCCATCCCAATGAACATATAATAAATCATGAGCCTTCTGGCTTTAGTTTAATATAAATGCACAGTTTGTACTATAAGTAGGTACAAAAAGTGCTGCTTTAAAAAAAAAAAAAAGGTGCATTTGTAGGGTACACGTTCTAAAACTTGCAGTAGTTAAAAAAAAAAGGTAAAATGCATCTGTTCTAGATGAACTACATCTACAGGTACCATATTCAAATTACTACATATATGTTTAGGTCAAGTTCATTTTTTTTTTTTTTTTTAATTTGCTCCTGACTGCCATGTACTTGGGAACAGCAGTGTCCAGCAATAAAAGGGGGCAGGAAGGGGCTACAACAGGAAGAAGCCTGGGGAGCTATCTAGCCCCCAGATTTTATTTTCCCTGCTGCAGCAGTGGGAAAGGGACAAACTTAAAAGACAGACCTCCAATAATTACATTCTATACCTGGAAAATTATAACAAATTTATAAGTTTGCTATAATTAGATTATTGGGGGGGGGGGGAGG